ATTACCTCTGTACAATAAATGGACAGGCCAGTGCTATACCACTTAGAAGAATGTTTGACTAAAAACAATTAAAACCAGGCCTTAGGGCTGCAAATTAAAATTACTTACCTTTGGCTTGGTAGCATAACTGTCAATACACTAGACCAACAGAACTCTCTCTATGACTCACAGAAATTCTATAAATATTGCGATCAAAGGTTATAGCTCAATATTGGTTGCGTCTCAATATCAAGGAAATAAAAGTCCTCAGTGTTGGAACAACAACATCATGACAGATAGAGAAGAGAAATAAATTTCCTCTTGCTTAGATCCCCAATCGATACCCTTGCTAGCAGCAGCCAGGAAAATCAAGACCCATTGCATTGGGAATATCTGCAGTCAAGGACCTCTCCAAACTGCTGAAAAGCAATGATGTCAGTTTGAAGACTATGGATGTACCTGATCCAAACCCATAATCTTCTCAATTACTTGCTATGATGCTGAAAGCCACACAATGAATAAGGATGGCTGTTGAACAACTGATACCTTTGAATTTTGGTATAGAAGAGTGCTGAATATCCCCATAGACCGACAAAGAACAAGTAAGTATGTCTTGGAAAAGGTTCAGGCAGGCTGCTCCTTGGAGGCAAAGATAGTGAAACTTCATTTCACATAATTTGGGGGATGTCTTTAGGAGGGATCTGTCCTTGGGGGGGAAAATCATACTTCAAAAGGTGGAGGATGAATAAAGGAGTTGAAGACACTCAACAAGATAGGTTGACATGTGATTGTAATGGTGGGCTTTCGTACGTCAGGGACAGTCAGGATAGCACAGGATAGGGCAGGTTTCAGATTCATTGTTCATAGTGCCACTGTGAGTTGTAGTCCACCTTGACAACACTTAACAACAACAACAACAGAGGAAAATTTGGGCATCATGTACAGAGCCATAAAAAATGTGAAAATGTATTACGTTCAGACTATAAAGGGCATAATTTCCATAAGAGAAAGGCTAGACAAACTCTGTAGCCATTGAGAAATCCTCAAATGTTTTAACAAATGCCACACATAGGTCTTTGTTTTAGAAAGATTATGGTAGTAAAAACATAACCAAGAGTTTTTGTTTTGTTTTGTTTTTAATTGCGATGAAGTCAATTCCTACTCATGAAATATGTCTTCATAGAACCCTCAAAGTTTGTCATCTTTCAAAAGTTGATCACCAGGACTTTTTTCTGGGTGTTTTAAACTTTCAGCTTTTTGATTGATAGCCTAGCCTTTAACCATTTGAACAACCCAGAGAGGAAACCAAAAGAATTGGAGGAATAGATTACATACAGAAACCAGCTAAAACAGTGTTTCTACTAAGGGAGTAGGAGTAGGATTTGAGAGTCAGAAATAGCAAACTTGCTGGGTCAATATCTACAGCAATCAGCACAAAGAACTGGCACAGACAGGAATATGAACTTAAGCATCAAGACATAAAGTCAAGGTAGAGATAGATATATGAGAAATAAATAAATAAAAGAGTAATGTCCTCTTCCTAAATAACAGCCTCGGAAACTCTATGAACTTTGATAAATGTCGATTGGTGTAGGGACTTCAGGCTTTTGTTCATAGGGTCGCTGAGTCATGTTTGACTAGAAGACAATCTATAACAACTCAGTAAAAAGACGAGAAGGGGCAAAGATGAACACTGAACAATGCTAGCATAATATGAGTACTGTTGATTTGGAACCAAGCCATAGCTGACCCTCCATTCAGAGGCAGTAAATCGCTCAGAACACCCGATCTTCTCCCAGGCAGAAGCTGTTTCAAACTGTGTGCCTTTGGGACTGCATGACAGTTAATTACCACTAGGCCATCTGGAGTCAGACAAAGGGGGGGAAAGAGAAATCAACGACTGAGACTGAGCTACATACTTAGGAGTAGAACTAGGAGAGAGGAGTATCATGATTAAATATCTATTGTTGTTTAGCATTCAGGATTCATCAGATCCTCTGCCAAGAATTCCACAAACTTATCTTTCTTCGTCTAAGCAGTCCTATGAGTTAACTATAAAATAACTAAGAAAATTTGAGAGATTTGCCAACTCATCCAAAGATTATTTAAAAAATGGAATTCTAAAGCAGACAAAACATCAAATTCCATTGTTATAACCAACTTTATGGATAATAATAATAATAATAATACCAAAAATGCCAAACACAGCATCCAACAAAAATGGAATCTTTGTTCAATTTTTCAAATATGGGTAAAGACCGAGTTCAGAAATGAAAATTTCAAGTTGAGTGTGACACAAGATGCAGTGGATTTTAAAGGAAATAATGTAAAAATAAACAAAAATCATTTGAAAACACATTAAAACTGATGTATTTTAATTCTTTTGGCAGGGCTTCCTTGACCCTAGAGCTCTGGACAAAGTTCGTTAAGACTTTAGAACCTCAAATCTCTGTTTTTCTGCACATCTTTAGACTGTTTGCTTCCTCACTGGTCTCTTTTGACCCTTGATTTATGATTCTTTCAACTTTGCTACTTTCTTGTACCATATTATAATATGAAACTTTGCCCCATAGTAAGCTGCATAATCAAGAATTCATTAGTGAAATTACATGGCTGAGTACTGGGAATTGTGCTACCTTCTGCCATCTTTTTTCATCCTCTGCCTCCTCTTTCATTCTTAACTATCTTTTTTTTTTTTAAAACTAACTCAATCTACACTATGGTAAAAATAGTCCACCATTTATTATTGGATAATCCACACTAAACCCCACAGAATCAATGTGAAAGGTATTTCTTTCAGAACTGTACCTGAAAATACATAGTGGAATATTTCTTACCTTTATTAATATACTCTTCAAAGACGTTTGGTGGTCAAACATAGCCAATATTGCTCTCAAAAAAACTAAAGAAGGAATGTATAAGTAATGATCTGGAGTTCTTTGAAAGTGGGAGACATTTTTCAAGGAGGTTTGAAGTTAAGGATCTTGAGAAGACTTTAATCAATGTTGTTTGCATGACTACTATATGGAAGTTTATTCTAAACTTTTCTTTTCACTGATTTTGTTATTGTTTGATGTATTGAGTTGGTTCCGTTGCATAGAAACCCTAGAATATGTATAACAGAATGGAATCCATGGATTTAGAGAAACAAACTATTCATGACAAAGTTTAGGGCTTATTATAGCTACTTCATCTTGTTATGCACCATCGAGTAGCCAGCAACTCATAGTGACCCTATGTATAATAGCTCTGAACCTTACCCTATCCTGAGCCAGTCTAACTCTGAAACACCTAAGGCCATTGCCCTAGTTACGGTGTCAATCCATATCATCTGTGATCTTCTGCACTCTCCTTCCACCTTTCCAAGCATGATGTCCTTATCCAAGGACTGATCCTTCCTGGCCACGTGTCCAAAGAATGTGAGACAGGGCTTCAAAATATTTGCCTCCAGGGATAAACTTGGTTTCATCCTCTCCAAGACAGACCTACTTATTTTCCTGGGTATGTTCAATACTCTTCTTCAGCACCACAACTCAAAGGCATTTATTCTTCTTATGTCATCCTTAGTTATTGTTCAGCTCTCTGATGCATAGCAAATACTTGTCAAGACTATGGCCTGGATCAAATATACCTTAGTCTCTAGCCTGACATCATTGCTTTATAGCACTTTGGAGAGGTCCCTGATAGCATGTTATTCATGTTTTGATTTCCTGCTGACTGGGGCCAAACCTATTGATTATGTATCTGAGCAAGATAAAATTGCTAACAACTTTAATCTCTTCTCCGTCCATTGTGGTGTCATCAATTGGCCCAGGGGTGAGAATCTTTTTTTCTCTTTGATGTTGAGCTTCAATGCATATTGAAGACTAAAATTCTTGCCCTTCTTCAGCAAACGCTTCAGACCCTCCTCAGTTTCAGCAAGCAAGGTTGTGCTATCTGCATAACACAGATGTTGATGAGTTTTCCTCCAATCTTGATGCCGTACTCCTCATCATAAAGTCTAGCTTCCCGAATGATCTGATGTATGTACACACTGATAAAGTATGGCGATAGGACACATCACTGAAACACTCCATTCTTAATATTAAATCATGCGGTGTTTTCCTGCTCTGTTCTGACTGCTTCCTGGTCTAAGTTTTGCATAAGCACAATAAAGTGTTCTGAGATTCTGATTCTTCTCAATGTTAGTCACTGTTTTCTTGTGATGGATGAAGTCAAATGTCTTTGCATAGTCAATGAAACACAGACATTCCTCTGGTACTTTTTGCCTTTAGTCAAGATCCACCTGGCACTGGTGATAATGTCTCTAGTGCCACGGCCTCTTCTAAACCCAGCTTTTCTTTCCTGTAGTTCTTTGTCAATGTACTGTTCCAATTGTTTTAGGATAATATTCTGCAGAATTTTGCTTGAGTGTGATGTTAGTGCTGTTGCTGTTTTTGTTGTTGTTGATTTCGTTCAAGTCGAGCACGACTCATAGTGACCCTAGAAACAAAAGACTTGAAGGTCCTCTGTAATGTTCGACATTTATCAAAGTTTATAGAGTTTCCAGAGGTTTGTTATTTAGTAAATGGATGCTACTCCTTCTTCCAAGATAGTGTTTGAGAATTTCCACACTCTACCAGACCACCTTTTTGGGATTAGGAAGAAATATGGATCTATTCCAATTGGTTGGCCAGATAGTTGTCCTCCAGATTTCTTGGCACAGCCTGGTGAGCTATGGCAGTTAGGGCAGCATCTGGTTGTTGGAATACATCAATTGATATTCTACCAATTCCTGAGGTCTTGTTTTTTGCCAATTCCTTCAGAGTAACTTGAACTTCCTCCTTCATGACCATCTCCTCTTAATCATATGTTGCTTCATGAAATTCTTCTGTGTCAGCCAATTCTTTTTGGTACAATGACTGTATAATCCTTCCATCTGTTTTTAATACTTCCTGGATTATTCAGTATTCTGCCCATAGCATCCTTAGGTATTGTAAGTCAAGGCTTGAATTAGTTCTTCAGTTCCTTCAGCTTAGGAAATGTCGAGTGAGTTCATCCCTTTTCTCCCCTAACCACTTAAGGGGGGTGGGGAAGAAGGCATGTTGGGTAATTATGATGTTGACATTTTTTTCCTTATTTCATTCTACAAACATCACTGTAAGATAACAATTAATACCATATTTTAAGGTGGAAAAATGGTGATATTGAAAGGTTGAGTAATTAACTTAATAGCCCACTAATTTAGGTAGCATCCAAGTTATTTTGTCATCATTATATCAAATTAAGTTTGATGAATAAAGCTAAAAGTTACAGAGGATTGTGGAACTGTCGTGTGTTTTAATTGTGTAAAATTTTATTGCATAGGGAAAGCTGAAAAGTCTCAAGTCCTCAGCATATTGGAAGAAAGTAAACAAATGGTGGATAATGCCATCTACAATACAATGAGAAGGTAAGGCTTACTAATGAAGTAAAAATGGAAAGAAAGAAAAGTTTCATTTCAAGCTACTATGTACCAAATCCTCTGAGAGGGTCTTTACATACACTGTCCATATTATTTGTACAATTATCACCCCAGATTGGTCCTGTTATCTCAATTTTACAAATTAGGAACTAAAATTCAACATGTTAACAACTAACAGAACTAATATTTAAATATCGTGTTATTTCTTTAATCAAATATACTGCAAAAAGTTGTAATAATAACATAAATCATTCAAAATATTATATTAAAATATGATACAGATTAAAGTCTTGATAGAAAAATAACCTCTGTCTCTAAGCTTCAATTTAAGCTTAAGAAGAAAAGAAAATATTGGTTAATGTGTTATAACTGACAATGAATAATTAACTTTAATGTTAAGCATATTACAGATATCAATATTATGAGTATTGTAGTCCCTTAGATGTTTTATAAACAAAACAGGACATAAAATCTGAGATGTAAGCATTGTTCTCCTAAGGTTATTATTATGTTGGAAGTTAATGAATATTTACCTAAACTCTAGCTATACAAAGAGGATATCTAGGTGACAAAACCTATTTGTGTCCCACCATAATGAAAATATTGGTGTTTGGAGGTTACACACTGACACCAAGATGAACGGTCTGGCAAGCTACTTTTATAAAGATTACAATCAAGACAACTCTGTGGAGCTCAGTTTGACTCTGTAACACATGGTATCATCTATTTAAAATTTTGCAAAATTAACATCAATGCAAAATATCGCAGAATGAGCACTCATGTAAAATACCGCGTAGCAACAGTTGATTTGTCCTCTATTTTTGTGATAAATCTTATTGTCTACATTGATTGACTGCATAATGAATTTTCTTTTTTTCCTATAAACTTGAATCAATGAGGAAAGAAACATGAAAACACTTCTCATTAACTCCTATGTTAGCTAGGAGACCATGATATGAATTTTCCAAAAATAAATAGAAGTGTATATTAATTGTGTAGTAACAAATTTTAAAAATATTTGTATTTTACTGTATTTTGAAATAAAACATCTTGATCCTAAATATTAATGATAGTGGTGAGATTTTCCAGGTTATAGAAGTAAAATGGGTGTAATATATTGGAAATATATGGTTTTGTAAAAAGTTAAGTAGTACTCCAAATTAAATTGATTTAAGAAATACTCTGTATTACATATTGAGAACACAAAAATGAATGAAAAATATTAACCTTTCTGAGACATTTTAATTCTACCAGTTGAAGTGATTGTTGTGTGCCTTCACGTTAGAACTGATCCTTTGCTGACCCTCCAGCAGGTTTTCAGATGCAATGCATCACACACGAAGAGGCTGCCCATCTTTTTCAAGTGGAGCAGCTGGCGGATTCTAACTGTGCTCCTTCGAGTTGGCAGTGAAATTCCTTACCACTAAGCCACAAGAGCACCTCTCTGTTGAAGTAGATATAGAAACAAATAACATACTTGTTATAATAATGAGCACTCCCTAGATTTAAGAAGGAAATTGGGGAGAAAAATCCCAAGGATTCCAACTCTACAAGCTTTCCTGGGTTATGTATCTTAATGAGAGAATACTACCCATCTTTCATTCTTAGAAGGACCTGTATGTATGAACTACTATCCAGGTGATTAGGAACCCAACATTTAACCTATTATTATATCAGAGCTCATTATACTATAAACAGTGAGGAAATAAAAATATTAATTAGCCGTAACATAACTTTCAATCAAATTTGAGCAATAATAATTTTTTTTAATCCTAAGACAAATCCATTTATAATAAAATTAAAAAAAACCAAAAAACATTCCAAAACACTAAGATCCAAAGTTAGAATTGTGACCACAGTCTTCACACATTCATTGATGAGACATCATACTTCATATTTGGAAAACTATATGAAAATGGAGGAGTGGCATCCACTTCCTAAATAACATGCCTCCAGAAATTCTATGAACTTTGATAAATGCCAATAGTTGTAGAGGTGCTTCAGGTCTTTTGTTCATAGGGTCGCTATGAGTCATGCTCGACTGAAAGAAAGGCAATCAACAACAACAACAAAAACAACATATGAAAATGCAGAACAAGATCTATAAAGATCTAAAAAAAAAATAGAGTCTGAAATTTGCCTCTAGAAACTCTATGAAGTTCAACAAATGTCAATAGTTGTAGAGAGGCTTCAGGCCTTTTGTTCATAAGGTTGCTATGAGTCATGTTCGACTTAAAGGAAATCAACAACAACAACCCAAACTCTGGTGGCTTAATGGTTAGGAGTTGTGCTACCAACCTGAAGGCACTCAGTTCAAATCCACCAGATGCTCCAAAGGAGAAAGATGTGCAGTCTCCTTCCATGCAATTGACTGCCTGTGAAAATCCTCCAGAGGGTCAAATAGGAGTTGGTTCAACAGTATGTAACAACACACACACAAGCTAGTAACTATGCCTACTAATGTACCATGAATACTGGCTTAAACATGAGAATTCTGGCTCAGAGACAAAGGACTTTACTCATGGCAATAACAGAAGCCAGAGTTTCAAAACGTTTTCCAGGTCCTTTGCTTTATAAATAAGGGAAGGTGATGCCTAAACACACAATGAATTGCAGTATATAAAAGGAATTCCAGTTAGGAAATGGAAATATTTTATAATGAGAAGTAATCTTGTCTGCCTTTAACCCTGGAAGAAGATATTATATTAGATGTCCTAAAAACTCATTCTATATGGAAATATATTTTCTCCATACTCTAAATCTTTTAACTATGGAAACATCCTAAACAAAAGAGACTGTGACATAGATGGTATCTCTTTGTTTATGACATGTAGACACAACCAAGTACTACAGAGTATTGTCTCCTACCAGTGCTCGTGAAACTGTCTCGTATACTTTTGGCATGTTATCAGAAGGGACAGTCCTTGGAGAAAGATATCGTGCTAGGAAAAGTAGAGAGTGAGTGAAAGGAAGATTCTGTAACAAAGATCATGAAGATGGAAAGGGTAGTGCAAAATTCAGATCTGTTGTTATAGCATGGCTATGAGTCAACTTAACAGTATCTAATAACAACAACAACAACAACAACAACGATATCTACTCTTCATCTGTATACGGTCTTGGCTTGTGATTTTTCTTTCACAATTGTGTTTCTTTTTCAATCAATCTAATCAGCAGAGACTAAGTAATATCTGTTAACTTATCATAGAAAAGGTGTAATTTAGGGTGCAATTGTTTAAGTACAAACTCTTGACTACTAGCAGAAAGCATGGCTATTTGAACTCATCTAGTGTCCAACAGAAAGCAGTTTAGGTTTACCAGCCACCAGCTATTCCATGAGAGAAAAATGAGCCATCTCCCCATCTACAATTTATAGCCTCTGAAATCCCACTGAAGCGTCAGCTCTGAGTTGCTTCTGACTCAATAACACATAGAATAAACTTACAAAGCAATTCTAACTTCTGCATAGATGGGATTGACATATGTCAGAAGTGATTCAGTGACAAACAGCAACATTTTCAAGACTTCACAGTGAGCATAATTCACAGGATTGAGCTCAACCTTTTCAACTATGCTAAATCCAAGATCCCACTAATTGAACAAATCTCAAATTTCTTCTGTATTTAACTTTGAAGGTCCAGCGGCTTTCTCCTTTTGTTTCTGAGTACATCTTAGACTAGACAACCAAGCATACATTAGAAACTTTACACACTATCCCTTGAACTACAAGAAGGAAGTAGATGGTAATGGCAAGTTGAAGGTTCAATCCTCAAATCCCCAGGATTGTTACTGTTACTAAACTTTTGAGGAAAGAGAAAACAGATTACAACAAGGTAAATTCTTTTTCAACTTCATACAGCTGACAAATAGTTAAAAATAAAGATGAATGAAAAGTGACAAAGACATTTCATACTTTACCACTCTTAAAGCACAGATATCTCATTTTACAAACTCCATCTCCTCTTAATACCCTACAAAGGTGGCCCAAATTTGCTTCACTCTTTTGTTTTGTACTGATGGTTACTTAGAAGCATGTTGTTGTTGTTGTGTGCCACTGAGTCAGAACTGACCCATAGCTGACCCTCCTGCAGGTTTTCAGAGGAAGCAATCACCTGGGAGGAGATTGCTGTCCTTCTCCCACAGAGCAGCTGACAGATAAATTTACCTAAGTTCATAGTCAATAAGTACTGATGTCTTTGTTTGTTTTTTTCAAGAAGCCTGGGGAAGAGGGTGTAATTATTTAAGAGTATTCAAGAATACTTTATATAAGGAATGCTAGTTAAGATGTTAGAGGATTTTTTTTCTTACAAGTCTTTGTTTTCAATTAATGAATTGATGAGCCATTAATTTGTTCTTCATCTCTCTAATCCATGAAAGCAACTTGATGTTAATAGCTGAGAAGTTTTCCCCATCCTTTGACATCCTTACAATCTCTGATATGCGTAAATCCACTGTTGCAGTCACAACATCAATTAATTTTTTTCAGAAATCTTCCTCTCCTTTACTGGTCCTCTGCTTGTCAAAGCGTGATAGCCTTCTCCACAGATTGGCCCTTTCTGATAACATATTTGCAGTAAGTGAGACTAAATCTCATTATCCTTGCCCTTAAGAGCACTCTAGCTGAATTTTCTGTCAATAGAAGGTATATTCTTTAGAAAGTCCATGGTATATTCAGTACTCTTCACCACACCACAATGAAATCATGGTGTTACACAAATAAAGGCATAGATTTTTGTCCCATTTTCATTTTCCACTGTGGAATTTTCAGAGACATGTTGTTGTTGTTGTTGTGTATCTTCAAATCAGAAACGACCCATAGCTGACCCTTTAGTGGGTTTTCCGAGACCGTATATGGAAGGAGATTCTCCGTCCTTCTCCCACGGAGATGCTGGGAGATTCGAACCATATGCCTTTGGGATTGCAGCACAGTTTCTTACCACTAGGCCACCAGATCTCCCTTTCAGAGACAAAGGAAACATTTTAAAATA